ATGGAAGGGAATAAAAATAAAGTTTACATCCTTCCTGGCTGTTTTTTATTCATATAAAGACAATTTCACGTTCTGAATGAAAGAAGAAAAAAAACGACTTACCTCTGTAAGATCTGGAATTCCTTAAAACCTGTTATCAATGTGCTTCACACAGCATTGTTTTTAATTCTGCTCTACAGGACAGGTGGGAGAACTTTTTGCCATTTTCTCCCTTAGAACATCAAGAAAACTAGAAGCATCTTTCTTGATAATTTTAGGAGGAAAATTATTTGCTGAGATTGTTTCAAGAATACAGAAAGTCAAGTGTTTTCCAGATTCCCTCAGGAATACAAAAGGAACATCTACCCCTCCCTTTCTTTGCAAGCCCAGAACATCAATGTTATAACCAGGAATGTTCAGACACGTGATGACTGAAAGATGCTCACTGTCTGAAAACAGTATTCTGCTACAGGAAACGGGAACAGCTGAGAAACGAACGTAAAAAAAAATTAGATGATGCATCACAATTGCATGGCAGGCACCTGAAAGATGCTGCAACACTGAACAAGTACCGTACAGTGTCAAAGCATTGACCCTTTGTTTGTGAATTAAGAAAGAAGTCCAGAAGTGACGCTACTCATCAAATATACATATGTAACATATACAAAGAGCTGCAGTCACTGTAAAAGAAACCATTTTTCTTTCTCAGGTAGATTATCTTTGTGAGCCCCATTTTTAGTGACTTGCAAGCAGTAACCCAGGAGAATGCACTGTTCAAAGTCTAAGGAAGCAGCTTTTATCAGAAATGCACCAGATTTCAAAGCTTATATCACCTGTAATAAAAACACTGCCAGAGCTCCAAGTAGGTGATTTGCAGACACCTTAACAAGTGTATTTCCAAAGTGCCTGAAATTCATTGAACTTTCTTCAGTCTCACATGCAGGATATAAATTATCACTGCAGTAAATACATTTTACTAAAACCTGGCCTTAGAAAATCACTAGGATGAGATTATTTGAAACCCATCTCTGAGACAGAGTGGCATCAGTCATTAGTCTCACTTGGAAAGCAACAGTATTCCTGCCTGCAAACCATATTATAATCCTTCTCCCAGTACAGTGATGTAAGACCCTTGCACGTTGTGGATTCAGCAGACAATGACTGCAGACAGCCCTACATGCAGCAGGTTTTATCTGGCATGGCGCGTGACAAACAGCCATACAACTACACACCCCAGCAGACTTCAGCAACTCTTCACAGTCATGTGAGGGTGCCTTTGAAGACCGACAAGATTGGATACAGCTTTGAATCTGTCTCAGAGCAGATAAGCTTTTGCAGTCATAAAGCCTAACCCAGGCCTCGTAAATGCTATCCTCTGTAGAAGTGTTAATAAGGATTTTCTCATTACTGAGCCTCAAAACTAGGAAAAGGTTGGCAAATGCAGCAAACTGACCTTTTAAGGTAACTTCTCTAGATAAAACTCATTGTCTAGCTATGGGTAAACTGGCTCCAGGGAAATCCAATCACCAATGCTAAGGTGTCACACTTGATTAAGGCTTATAGCACTGCAAGTCACTTAGGATCCAGATAAAAGAAAGCAGAAGGCTGTGCCTTGGTCCCTTCTTTGAACCTCAGTAAATTTAATGCTTATTCAAGGCAGGATATGCACCACTAGAAAGAAGTGAAGCTCAGTGACAAGTGATGCATCTTCAGAGGTGAGGTGATACTGCAGCTAGGACTACAGCTCACCCATTTCTTCCTCCAGGAAAAATGACCTGACTGGAGTGCTGCACTTGCAGGCTTGTTACTCAGACCCTTGAATAGTGTATAGAAAGTTAGATGAATTTACTCCCCCCAAACCCAAATATGCAAAGGAAGAAAGGCATTTTCTGAATTTATTTCTTAGCAGTCGGTATTTCAGCTTTGGCTCTTCTCTCTGCAATTAATAGACTGCATGCATCCAACATGCAGATGTGGTGAAGGTGTAAGAATAGGCAGCCTGTTTCTGTGTAACAAACCCCAGACATCAGCTTCCTCTGAAATTCACACTTGCAGGGTTAGCGGGGAGGAAGAGAAGGGCTCTCTATTTTGCAATACATTAAGATTACATAATAGCTTACATCATAAAAACTAGCATACAATTACACGTTTTTGAGGCACTTTTCCATTCTTTTCAAAGTTTTTTGAAAAACTTTGGAATTAGGACAAGGAAAGGTACATACTCTGTTGCTGACCTCCTCAGATCTGTGCAGAGTTGGCTGAATAACGGTCACAATGAAACAACCAGAGCTTTTCTTATCTATATAGGTTTTCTTTATAAATCTCATTACTGGAGAAACCCAAACCTTTTGCCATTCTTAAATCCCTCCACTGCCCCCTGGTGTCTCTTCTCTGCAGCGTCACACAGAAAGCCAACACCTCAGCAAGTTCTCTGACACAAAGTCCCTATGAAAGGGAAAAGTTATGCACAAACCAGTGGACCACACTTCTAGATGTAGTTCTTTTCCAGACTGATGCTTATAATAATTTCTCAAAAAGATCTAATTACTAGGCAAGCCTCATAGTCATACTGCAGAACAAACAAAACCTATCTCTTACATTGAACACTGTCAGCAGAAATTGCTTCAAATTAGCCAGAGTACCAATAAACTGCACGGAAGACTTGCAGTAGGCAGGGAAATACTTGTCTTCCTCTTTTATGCAAACGTCTGTAGATATGCTAGTAAACAGCTGCTTATGCAAGGATTTTCTTTTTCTAAAGAACTGTTAATGGGAAAGGCAAAACAATGACCTGAGCTAAAATACTTTCCGAGAAATATGCACACAATGGCCATAAAAGAACATAGAGCAAAAAATTACATGGTTGCATTGACAAGAAACCCAAATATACTGGCTTATTCACGGACTCACTGATAAAAAAGATGAAGGAGACCAAGACTGACACACAAAAGAGCTGAAAATGCAAAGTCTCCCAGCACTGAACAGGCACATGTGTGGTAGGGAGAACACATGGCTGGAATAAGCAGAACCTAAGCTATAGACAGGGATTCACATTCCTTTTGACACATTTGATGGCTTTGAAACAACTGCCCTTGAGGCTTTCTAATAAGATGTAGCTAGTGGTCCCAAGAGGAACTGGTTACAATTAGGTTTTTTATTCATGGAATTATTATCACTTTATTACAAATTTAAGTGCTCTTAGGGCTGTACCACTGGTTGAAAATCAGACTGCCTGTAACACAGTATTAGAGGTGAGAACAAAACCAGAAGAGTTCTAAACAAGAAATATCTGTATTAGGTATAATCAAAATGAGGTATAATAAAAATTATGAGAAGCTACGTACGTGGAAATCAGATTACTACACTTCATTTTCTCAAAAATACTGTTTTGCACTTGATTATGCATATGCAGAGAGTCACAATCAAGATTTAACTCACAGACATCCTGACACACATCTCAGTTATGTAGTCTTACTAAAATTTGAGTATGTCCATAGTAAAGTACTGCAAAATAATTTCCTGACAATTACGCTTATGCAAAATCAGATTAAGTGATGACAGCCAATATTATTTTAATTCCACATCTTACCAAATCTCTACTGTGCCTAGAAAAAAATAATACCTCTGTCTTAAGAAAGTTGCTGAGCTGCAAATAAGTAATTGCTGGGAAAATACTAGCACATTTGCCCTGTTCCTTATTCTTTTTCTTCAGCATCCAATATTGTCCCATGCTGGAGATGAAATAAAAACTACAGGCATGTTCACAATACCTAGCACTGCTCAGTAACAATGTGCTCTTCATACTAGGTGAGACTTTGTCCAGCAAGAATAAACCTAGAGGTCACACACACACACAGAACTACCTTTTTATCTTACCACTGCCCAAAAGAATGATTTTTAATTTTTTTTCCAAAATCGCCACTCTCTGAAAACCCCAGAGGGTTTAAGAAGTTGCAGGTGGCCTATATGAAATGCATTTCCTCCAAGGGTGAGAATTCTTTAAATTACTTCTCTTTCTTTCAGTCATCCTCTTTCTTTTTTTGGCCCAAGTTTTGATTCCCAAGCTCATCAGCTGCTACCAGTCAACTGGAATACAGCATAGATCTTTTAATACCACAATCAACTAAGTAGCTGAGGATTTTGGTAAGAAAGGGACCATGACACTGAATTGTCTAGATGCATTGTGGAGGGGTGTCTTTTGTTGTGGTGGTTTGTTGTAGGTTTTTTATTAATCTGTTTATACTAGAACAACTGAAGCAACAAAAGCCTATAAAAAGATTTCAGACACATCAAGGGAATGAAAGAGGAAAGGCTTTCAGTAGGTATATTTTTCCAACATAATTTTCTGCAGTAGCTGCATGCTCATTAGAGGTGTCTTATGCAATTACTGAACTGCCTTTGTACAGTATCAGCTGGAAGAGAGAAAGGGTGAAGGTTAAGATATGCCATTTGTTGAACACCTATTTTGCCTTTGCTGTTACATCTGTAAGACTTCAGGAGGTTTATTTAAAGCACACAGTATTGGTCACACTATTCCTAATGAAGTTGGTGGCAATTTCCCACTGACTTCAGTAGGAACAGATACGAGCCAGTGGTTCTGAAAAAAAAAAAAAATCCCCTCTCCCCCATAACAAAGCCTAACTTTTAATTTAGGAGCATGCTGTAAGACACAAAAAGTTATTTTGTGCATTTATAATAGCATAAACCAGAATAAAATATTTATTAGAATGTCTTCCAGTAACAGCATTCAACATCTTAACAAACCAAGTTGTGAAGTCTTAAAAAAATCTAGGATTACAAAAAAAAGTTAAAATAAGTTGTTCCTTATATCTAATGGCAACAAAGGGGGAATTTTCTATTTAAAAACAAACTTGTCATATAAACAGTATTATTTTAAGAAAAAGTTATTAACATGATATGCAATGTTCAGAATGGATACGCAGTGTATGAACACCAATCTGAATGGAACAGAAGGGCAGAACACACTACCCCCTTAAAAATCTCAAAATAGGCTGTTTGAAGAAAGGGGAGGGAGGAGAATCCTTCTAGTGAAATAACTTAGAAGATACCACGCAATGGACAAAATATGCAAGAGTACAGAAGACATTAGATGACACCCTCATTACAACAACCCCTCAAGTCTGGTTATACAGTAAATAAAGTTAGTAAAGTGCATCTTTTAAAGACTTGTCTAGTGAAATAGCTTTTCCAAATATAAAACACAACACAAGACGTGCAGAAACAGTCAAATCATGGTGTAACTTTTTAAAAACTAATCTTTACTGCAGTTAAAACTTTCTTCTGTAGCGAATGAAAAGTTAGTGTTCACATTATTCTTCAATAGGATGCATCCTCATGTGCTTTTGTTACTTGGCAAATCTTTAAATATGAAGTATGGCAAAATTATGCAGTTTAAGCAAGTGCTTCTCTCAATGTAATACAACTCTTCAATGGCAGAACAGCCACATGCAGCACAACCATGTTAGATTTTAGGAAGCTTTGGTGCACTAACGATGGGATTGGTCTCCTGCAAATACCTTCGCCCTGCACTCTTATAGTCGTAGGTGCAGGTATGAGTCTCTGCATAGCGGTGCGTTGCACAGAAGTTGTTTCCACATCTAGAGAATCAAGAATATTAGAAGTTACAAGCTTTTAGAAGCTTTTAACTCTGACATGCTGGGAGCCCTTTGGCTTAATCATATCTTGTTTATTTGACATAACTGCTTGGATTCTAATCATCCTTGACAGATAACATTAACTAGTGGGGTAACCAAAATTACATTTTTCTAACTGAATGTTGCAGTTTTGACCCAACAGTCTCTTCAGCTGGGAAGTTAAGCAAGATCAGTACTCCTGGAACCAGATAGCAAGGATCAAGCACACTTATAAATTAAGAATGATAAGCTTTAATTTATTTTATTTCTTTTTAAAGACCTCACACAACATCAGTTGGTAGAATTCAGAAGACAAAACCATGGAACTAAAATAATGGCATCAGGTGAAAACCACATAATGCATTTCAATTCAAAAACACCACATTATCCAGACCACCAAAACAGATGTTTAGTTCAGCACAACTTCTGCCTGGCATAAACTCAAATGTGTCATTCAAGTTTAATAAATACAGTTTTAGTCAGCTGTAAAGACATCAGACTAACTATAGGGAATATGACTTCCTGTATGACTAGATAAGAGTGCATCTTTCTAATACCAGTTGCAATTCCAATGTGTTAAGATTATTATTTCTGCCTTCAAACTTGACAGCTTGCAGCCAACACTCCTAACAGGAGAGAAGAATACTCTGGACATTGTATCTGATCTGAAAAGTGCTGTAAGTGAAGACTGGTATCAGTGTCCTGCTGCGCGATTATTTGACAAAGTTGCTTCTTCACAGTAAAACAATAACATAATTCAAAATCAGAATTCTCTTGAAATGGATTAAGCATTACTCATCAAACTTACTGTCTCACTATTAGACTATAATCCTCTATTTATCTATCTTTCTGGGTTTGTAATGAACTCCACAGCTGTTCCTGAGGCTGTGTGTGCCTGCTTAATAAATTCGCTTTTCTTTGGTTCTTTGTCCCGTAATCACCAGTTCTCTCATATGACTGTATTCTCTATTTGGTTCATGTTCCTTTCTAGTAAAAGGTCTTATGGTTGCTCCTTTTGAAAGCAGAATGAATGCTATTCTTGGAGATGTGCAATTTCCCCCCTTTTTCTGAGCTTCATTTTTAACCTTAAGCAAGCTGCTTAGTTACTTCTAGAAGAGCTTGCAGCTAATTGCTCATCAGGAAAGTGTGCACTGTCCAAAGCTATTTCAAAATCAAAGACTGAAGAGTCAGTAAGGAGGCAGTTCCTCACCCTGAAACTCTCCAACACAATTCCCCAATGGCAGAAGTCTTGTTCATGTTGCTGTTGATTGGCATGAACCAAGATCAGCTTCAAATGTAGCCCTCTCACAGTGCAGCACCTCCCAACCCTGACTAGCTCACAGGAAAAGATACTGAGAAAATAAGATCTTGTATAAACAATACTTTGAGAACCAAGATCAACAGAGAAAGTGAAGGGTTTTTTTTGGTTGGGTTTTTTTTTTGTTGTTTGGGGGTGTTGGTTGTTGGTTTTTTTTTTTTTCTTCTTTTTTTTTTTTTTTTTTTTTAGAGTTTACAGTGATCACCACCAAGCGCCAGGTCTCATTGTGTTGTCTGCAAGTCACGATTTGGAGGACCAGCACTCTGGCATTCTGCTTTTGGAATGCTCTTCATGTTTAAAGGTGACTGAAGCCTCACAAGAAACAAAACACATAAAATCAAAAAGCTGTCAAATATAAATTTGTATAAATTCACAAACTGTGCAGATGTGTTGTATGTAATAAGGCCAAATCCAGTTCTTCCTCAAGTTGTTAATGATACTTTGCAGAACATAAATCTGTAGCAAGTTCTCCCCACACCACTATAAAATGTCATTGTTGTTTCTTTGCAATCATGTTCTTTATTTCCTGATAGCTTGCATTTCTTGATTTTCCTGGAAGAACATACACCTCAACAGCAGAACAGGTACAACATTCCTGAGTTTTAATTCCTGGAGTTTTGCTAAACTGAGAATTGCAAATTTTTTGAAGGTTGTCTGCTGATTTGCTACACTTAAGGAATACCATGCAGCATAGAAAACCTTTTGGTTAATCCAGCTATCAGTTTTAAACAAGAGCTGGTTATATGCTCAGCCTACCTGCACTCATAGCCGGTTGCCAATCCAGTTTTCTTGCCACAAAGAAAGCAATGCTTTGTAATTTTCTTTTTTGCTTGAATTGAGCCATTCACAGATGGAAGATGTGTTCCTTCACCTGCTTTCAGAGGTAGAAAGACAGCAAAGACATTTTATTTTTACTTATTCTTGATGAGAAACTAGTTAAATACCATATTTTGAAAGCAAGATTAATTTTGCATTTTTTAGGATACCTCAGGTGGGAATCCCAAAACCTAAACAGAGAGTTGAAAAAAACCCAAAGGCCAAAATAGAAAACACACCTCAAGCCTATGAACAGTTTTGGAAGAAGCAGCACAATGCAGGACTTAGACCCATTATTTTTAACACCTGTTAAAAGTTCACATAAGCAAGTAGTTACAGAAGAAATCAAGAAACACATCTCCTAATGGTCTTCACAAATGCAAAATGAAAACACACAATGTGATTGGGAAAGCACCACACACAATGGCTTTCCAAAGAATCAGCTGTGCATTCAAGTACCCAGCATCTAGTATATTAACTAGCTAAAAACTCAAGTTTGCTAAATAAGTACTGCAAGATTTTAAAGTCTTGCTGGTACTCCGTAATTGCAAGAAAAGTATATTATTAGACTACAGGCCTCTACTTAGCTATATGGCTTCACAACACACTTTGCAGATGTTTGTAAAATTTCTCTACTTAAAAATTTACTTTACTTCAACTTTTTGCCCTGTTATTCTTGGCTGTTGCTTTATAACTGGATAGCATGTAAAGAAAAGGCATCTTCCTTCCCTCTGTAGAAGCAAGCTCTTTGTCCACAACTTGCTTATGTATATTTATCATACATGAGGTCAGCAAAAGCGAGCAATGCATCCTCTCAAACATTCTTTCAGTGCTGCTACTGCTATATTCTCAGGATGCCCCTCAAAGTGACCTCATGAGTTCAGAAGTATTTTTTGTCCAGCGTGCTTTTAATCCCACCAGTCATTTCTCAACTGAGATACAGCAGCCTACATTCAGTAGTAACACCAGGTAGTCACTACACATTGTAGTCATCGCTACCAACCACTGCTATCCCACTCTTATCTAGCACAGAAACTACCTGGCAATGTTTGTCCATGCTATCAACTTAATCATCTAAAAGCATACTATTTCAGGAGCATCAGTTAGCCCAGTTTGTGAAAAAGACAGAGCTTGAAAACAGCCACCCTTGTGAACCATACTCAAACAGAAAAAACAATACACCTGTCTTGATGTTTATGGTCCCTACAGCAATTCCATGCAAATGAAGGCCTTGGATAATAAACTAAATCTGTCCTTTGGTCAGTTACACAACAGATCATTGCCAGCAACCTCTCTCTCAAGAGCCATCATGACACGACGACGCCAACTTTGTCCTTCTCATGTCTGGAACCTTTTGGAAAATACACTTTTGTCTGACCCAAGATACCAGAGAGGTATCTTCCTCATAGTTCTACCCAATATGACACGATAGTAGACTTTCCAATCAGGCCAACGTGACTGCTAGGGTATCACCTCTTTTACCACAGAGTAGGTAAGGACAGACCTGTTTATTAATTGACTGCCAATTCAAAGGTGCACCTCCAGTTGTGAAACAAAGGCACAATCCACGATTTTAGTAGCTTTTGCTCCCACATCACTACAATTACATCATTTTTCCTGTTGCAGCTGCTATTTGAAGATCTGTCTTATAGCTCATTCTCTATACCTAGATCTTAAAATCCTGGAGTACATGCCTTCCTCTCTTTTACTAAGGTCATACAGAAAGAAAAGAAAACCTGCAAAATAAATGCAAGTCAAAGATGTGAAGAAGAAAAGTTGATTGTGCTGAGAATCTTTAGCTCACCGTCTTAAAGAGTTTTAAAAGGACTAAACTAGACAATTCTATTCCTCCCAAGAGAATTAATCACATAAGAAATTAATATTTAGGCACAACACATCCATTTTCAGCACTCCACAGTTATCGATGAGGGTAAGAACAACGATGCCCACCACAAAAAATAGAAAAAACCCACATAGTATCAGTGGTCTTCAGCACCCATGCCCTTATTGCTTCCTCCCCACTTTTCTTTTGCCAAATTCTTCTGGCTCAGGCTGTAGTCCTAGAGACATCACTACCGATAAATTTTGCTCTGATTTTATAGTATACTCAGAAGTATTCACAGAACGGACCTTTTGGAATCTTCAGAGCAGAAAGTCATGTTTATGTCTACAGATGACACGCAGGATTCATTAGGTGTTAAAAAAAGTTAGGAAAGTCACAGTTATGTTCACCTAAGATCTGGATGACATCTGTATGTTAAAGAATTGCTTAAAATATTAAGTTATACCATGGTATAGAAGTGTAATACAGCAAGGACTTTGAAAGACATATGTCTTACAAAGATAAATGATTCGAGTCCTCTATGTATGTCATATATCAGGAAAGATTAAAGAGTCATCTTCAATTATTATTTAATTCACATTACTTACCTACTCTTTTACCTACAGCTGCAATACTTCCATTCATTCCAAGCCCATGCGCAGACTAAAAAAAAAATTTCCACAAGGAAATTACTAGCAGATGGAAATTAAATGAAAAGTTAGGCAGTCTGGTATCAGCTTATTTGAAATCAATGTTGTACCAATCAACACACCTACAAAGAGTCCAAGAAGACTTCTGTATGAAAAAATAAAAATTCTGCAATAAAAAGCCTTACTCAAAATGACTATTTAATAGTCTCTCTATACTTCACAACACACCAAAACAACAAAGTACACTAGCAATCTGAAGCTAGGCACATATGGTGCCAGTCACAGGGCAAACTTTGGAATAAATGACAATTAGTGAGCAGCAGCAGAAGTCAGATGACACTTCAAACACAAACACTCATAATTTTATTATTACAATAACTAATAATTTTAGTTGTGAACTGAACAACCACTCATTTTTATGAAAATGGGTCTTCTAGGACCCATTTAGATAAATGAGCAGTTAAGATACCAACAGGAATTCAGAAAATAGTTTAAGACTATCAGTGATTTAAGTACACCACTCTCTCCCTCCCCATCTGCCTTCCCTGAAAAGACAGACACACACATGAAAGCACAGTTTCATAATGCCAGTACTAGAAAAGACAGGAAAATGTCAATTTCTTTGAAAGCATTAGTACTCACTAGAATATATTCAGCAGCTTCATTTGGAGGAGCAGTCTTCCTAAAGCTTTCTTCCTGAAAATGCTGAAGGTTTGTAGGTAGTACAATACCAGAAGTCCGAAACCTGGCTGTCCCACAGGAACTCCGTAAACTTTCCCTGTTTGCACTTCGGGCCAGTGAAGCCAGAAATCCTAAGCTACCTACAGAACTCACAGGTTCTTTGGATGCCTTGTTAGCCACATCTGTGATGTCCCTAGCCTCTGCTTCAGAAATTACATCAGCTCTTTTGCCAAGTGACTCTACTTTCGCATTATGAAATCTAGTAGTCCTAGAAAAAGAGGAGTCTGCTACATTACGGACTTCCAATGATCGAAGCACGTTTGAGGAGGCTGTAGATCTGAAGTTACCAGCCTCAAAGCATTTGGGCTGTGTTTGTGGTTTCAGAGAACTGTGATGTGCCACTTGTGCTGAATACCGAAGAGGTGACAAAAGCAGATTTTTCTGCGGACTTAATTCACGAGTACTGAGAAGACCAGTCCCCATTGCTGCAGTGCTCAGTACTTCACTAACAGGTTTTCTATGCTGCTCTACAACCTTAGATTCATCATCTCCATCAGACAGTTCAAATTCTGGGTTCACCTTTCCTACATCATATATCTCACTACACTGTTCAGTGGTGCTTGCTTCTTTTAACAAAGCAAAAGCATCCGTTTCAGGTAGCAGTTTTTCTTCTGTTTTATATAGTTCTACATTTGTTAGGTTTGGAAACACAATAGCATCCTCCTCACTTGTTGAGGTCACATTTTCAGATACTTTTTCTGAATTTCCAGGCAGAGATGAAACAGGAGTCAGAATACTATTTGTAGGTAGTTTTGCACTTTCTAGCTCGACACGAGATATTTTCGGTGGTAACCTGATGCTACTAACTGGCTGAGACCAAGAGTTACTCTGCCAAGTGTCATCTTCCTTAAGAAAGTCATTAGTTGTGGATGGCATTGTTCTACCAGCAGTGGCCAAAGTAGCCAATGCTGAAAGTGCGTTTTGGGAAGACTCTAAGGGATATGAATTCCAAGGAGGAGGAGGGCAGGACTGTCCGATCGGGGGGAGAACTCTTAAAAAGCGGTGACGAGCAGCAGCCACTGAGCCACTAGATGGTCGAGGAGCCATTGGAGGACGAGGTTTCACCTTGACAGTTTTCTTAGGCTTTAAAAAAAACCCCAAAAACATGTTGAAAAACAATTAGTATTGGAATTATGGTTGCATTCAAAGACCTGACAGAGATCCTACTCCCAGGAACTCAGACAGCCTGAGGCCAGAAAGGACAAAATTTTTTCTACTCCCTCATCTGTTACTAGCCATCAATACTTCACCCCAACATCTGAACAATAAGATCAAAGATTATAATCAGAGAAGACTTTTTAGTAAATAGGCCACATGTCAGAGGAATAGAAAGGGAAGACAGAATACCATCAAAGTTATCCAGAAGAGCTTAGGGTCTCAAGACAAACAACGAAAGAAAGTGTAATATCTTAATTTTACATGTAGGTAACCTACACAGACATGAACACCAACGTAAGGTTTTATATTCCAGGTAAACTCATTCTCATATTTAACTCCATAGGCTTTTCAGTTACAGTATTTCAAATGAAGTTTCAGTTAAGAGAAACACTGATTTTTTAGCAGAGCAGTGCAGCAAAACAATACTACTTAAAGCATCAGAAGAAAAAAACAAAAAAACCCAAAACATCCACCCACAGAAAAAAATCCAGGATCAGTAGTGAATTCTGTGAATGTGGATAGGTAGATACAAGTAAAGCCAATATCCCACAGCAGAACATTTATACAACAGCATTTACTTAAACAACAGAGAAGAAATCGCCTACCTTTGATCACTTCACTTCCCAAGACAGAAAAGTATCTGACCTGCTTTTTAGAAAAGTCAGCACTAGGAAAGTGAAAGCCATTTTACAATAGAAAAATTGAAATCACAACTTTACCTTTTTACTCAGATTCATGTTCTCCATCTTTGCCTTGAGTAGTTTCATTTTATTCATAGTAATTGAATTCTCAATAATCTGTTGTCCAGAAGGTGATGCCTCTGTCTCATCTTCATCATCAGCATATAAGTTATAAACTGAACCACTGCTGAAAATAAAAGGAAGTTTGTGTTCACCCCCTAATCAAGTAATTTGTTTTCAATGTAGAGAATTTTCATAACTAGAAAGTCATATCCGTAGTTGATCTGTTGACAAAGCAGTATGTAAAACTGTATGCAAAGACATTTCAAATCCATTTATTTTAGCACATAGGCATTCCTTATTAGATGCTCACACAAAGTGATGATGCTGCAATCATAACACAGCCCCACTGCTGGGAAGTTGTTAGACCATATACAGTTGGTTCACACTCACTATATATTTTCCCCACAGAGGGGATATCCAGTTCCACAAATGTGAAGGTATGGCCAAAGCTGTTAACCGTGTGACTCAGACAACAAGCTGATCAGTTTTCCAATTAAACAGACACTGGCATGGAAGGAAAGTCCAAATTTCTATCCATCCTGAGGGGTGTTCTCGCCATAAATGGAAATGGAGGGGTCACCCATGTGGATGTGATATTATATTTCTCCTTTTCAAAATTAAAAAAATAAATAAAAAAGGATCAGTTTAGATTTCCAAAGAGTCTCACATTTAGAAAAAAATAAACAGACTATAAATGCTAGATCGAAGACAAAATATTTCAACTCAGTAGTGACTGGAAATTTATAGCATCACATTGCCTTTTTCCATTCTGTATTCTAACAGAATGCAAAACCTCAATATTTTAAAGTCAGTATCTGACTTGTTTTTCCTATGAAGCATTAATTACTAACACACATCCAACACTTGACACTTAAATGAAAGAATCATTAGGAGCATCCAATTTGTTACAAATTAATGCATTTTCAACACTGTACATAGTACATTTTAAAGAGTGTTTTAATTCTTCTACTAGGCTGTCAGCATCTAGAAAACATGACAATCAGGCAATTCCCCTGTGTTCGTACAAATGTCTTAGTAGATTTAACTAAAGTTTCTACTCTCCAAAAGAGACCAAGGAAGAACTAAAGGTCATGAGAAAGTCACTACAAAAAAAAAAAAAAAAAAAAATCACTAATTAGAGCTGGCATTTTACCCAATTCTTGGAAATACTCTGCTGTCCTTACTCAAGAGCCAGTATTTTTGCACTGACTCTCCAAACGCATTTCCTAAAATGTAGCAAAATTCCAAAGGCAGAACAGCTGGGAGACAGGTTTTTAAGAGCAAGATAGCACCGAATTCTAAGCAAGAGTCAGCAAAATGGTCATCATTTCTTACCAAAAAATGAACAGCTCTATCTGGGGACAGTCAGCATGCATATTACATACCTTTCCTGGTAAAGATTCAATGCTAAAGAATAATTTCAGAATTTTAATGCTGCAAAGTCATAAACTCAAAACAATTCTTTGAACTTCTCTTCCTTTTGGTAAAGACAGAAAGAAAAGTGATGTCTCTCACACGACTGGTTGATTGTTTAGGGTTTTTTTAATGTAAAAAGAATTGTTATCCTTTTCCTTCAATTTTCTGGCTAAATAGGAGCCAAAAACACTAAAAAAAAAAAAAAAAAAAAAGGAGTAACAAAAGGAATTATTGCTTTATCTGACTGTAAAATTATAAAAGTTAAGACATGGAACTTTGTTCTTGATGATACTTTTAGCCCACTTTCCCATGAGAAAATTTCAAATTTACTTGTCCGCAGATGTCAACATCCTTGAGATCTTGCTTGTAAAATGTGTGCCTCAAATATTATCAGTAGCTTGTTGAAACACTTTTGACACCACTGCCTACCAATCCTCTACCACAACTTCAACAACATTCTTTTAATCCAGAAAATAATCACTGTATATATTTACATCTTATCAAGTTTTAACCATTAACTTAAGCACAGACAAAATAAAATGACCTGGAGAACTATAAAACAAAAACCAAACCGGTATCTCTTTTCTAAATTACAGTCATTAAATTCTGCTCCACACATAAACAATGTGAGAAAACCTGATAAACAAGCGTCTCAAAATGCTCAGTCACCAGTATACCCACACATGCAGACGCATTTAACTGACACCGTGGAAAGCACTAGTATTCAGAGCAATTCATAGCCTTCCTCTATAAAGATTAAATAAAAAGGTCTGATTTATTTCCATTCTCTTCTCCTGTTTCTACTTTTTCCACTTCCCACAAAGTCTGACCTGCCCATAATAACAAATTCAAAATTAAGACTTCTAGACACCCCCCACCCACCAATTACTGTCTGCCTTAGTAGAAAAGCTAATAAATTAACTCCAATAGAAAGCAAGGAGAACGAGAAACAGCTCAAGCTGAAGGTCTTTAACTCAGGTGGCTTCCAACCTAACTGGATCATTTGACCAGTCACTGCACATTTCTTAAGCATAATGTATTGGATCTTTATACACGCTGTTGTGCTTTGAAAGGCTTCCTAAGATGCCTTGCAAGAGCCAAAAGAGTGTGGTTTATTCCTCTGGCTTGCTACATTTAGACAATCTCAAGTAAATTATTATTTAATCTATACACTACGATTACCTAATTGAAAAGTACTAAGAACTTCAGACAATTGTCCATGCTGGTTTTAAACAGAAAAAAAAAAAGTCACCACACACACACAAGAATCTGAACATGTAGGCAGACACTAGGGATCCCATTATACCGAAAAAATGAAGTTCAAGCTCCTTCTGACAACTTCTTGCATCAACTTACAGTATAGCATCTACAGTCCTACCTTTGGATTACTTTGGATGTTCTTTGGATTTAAAAGACAAAAGGGAACAATTTGGTAATAGGCAGGGTATCACTGAGAACAGGAATTACACCTGTCTACTCCTCTTCCCAAAGTGCATCTAGGCCAATGCAGCAGCAAAATTCTCAGTTCTTATGATGATGGTGGGTTTAACTTATTTCAAATCTACACACAATACCATATGTGGCCATTTACTGAAAAAGAGTGCAGGGTCTGAAAAGTAAGATCACAGATCTAAAATACTTGTATCTTTACTCTTCCTTCCCTCCAGTAATTGTATATCAACCACTAGCACTTTCTACTCTGTGTTAACTATGTGGGAATTCAACCTTGATACTTCATTCAGCCTGTAGTTTTTAAGTACTGATCTCCTATAAAAGTTCTAAGAATAATAGCACCCTGAACCCACTGAATCACACTGAATATAAACCTAGTACAAAGCTCTTGCTTTCAGCTTTGCAAACAGGAACAAGAATAGTTACTTAAAACAGTGCAAGCCTCAGCCTTGGAGAAAATGCAGCTAGTCTCCAGAATAGGGACTCCTCTCCTTACAGCTGTACAAATATTAAATTCTTCAGGGGATTAAAAAAACTACTCAAAAGCTGCAGGATAAAGACAGATTCTGGTAATTTTTAATAGATATTAACAATTCTGATAGCTTTAGGAAAAAGACTAGTAATCTGTTTACTACAATGTAGTAGCTGTAACTGACATATTTGCTTTTCTGGTAACAGTACTTTGATTCTGTGACAGTGATTGAGACAAGTTTGGTACCTCAACAGTAGCTAATCTGAGGCCTAATTACATCCAAAGGCTAGCTCTATTGGTAATTATTTCAAGTATATTTAAAGCAAACAAACAAAACCCACAACCCAAACCCAAAACAAACCCTTCCCCCTGCCTCAACAGAACGAAAAAAACCACCCCAAAACAAAACAGAAGAAAAAAACCAACCAAACAAATAAAACCCCAACGATTTCTCTGATACTTCACACAAACACCCTCAGGATTTTGCACTGCCAATCTACTATCTTCCTGACTAATCATTTGGTCAAGTCATATGCATATGAAAAAAGTTTATGCTGTAAACAGAGGAATGTTTATAAAACTAAATGAATGCCTTAAGATGGAAGACAAAGCACTTAACAAAAGTTTTTAATATCTTTATTGCCAAATTAACTCTCCTTTGAAATGTTCCCTTTTAGAAAAGGGCTGGAATGTTCAGAATTGCCTCAAGCACGAGGTCAGCTTCATCTCACTCTATTGACACACACAGTGACAGGAGACTGTCAGTATGACCACTGAGCACAAAGTACTACTGTATTGTTCAGCTACCCAGTCACAGCATTTTAATAGTCCTTAGGGCATAATTCTTATAATATTCCAGATATATTCCAGATATTATTTTGACAAAGTTCAATAAATAAAGCTAGAAATTACACAGCATCCCCTTTTTGAAGAATAATACAAAGATTAAAACCAACTTTACCTCAAAGATTGAGATAATGGCGTTAAAGTGCCATCTCCTCGATCTACCACACGGAAGAAATTCAACTGATCTCCTTCTCGATATACTAAGAAGGTAACTTGTTTGTTGGATGGCCCTTTCTCCCAGATCTCATCTCTACTGGGATCCATGTATTCAGCCATTTCCCTGATAGGGTCTTCCACAGGAACTACAAAGAGAAAAAAACAGAATAAAATCAAATTGTTTATTATCATTTTGATCACCTTTGAGAGCTCAGCTCAGTTTACAATGGGCAGTCCCAACCTAAAAGATACACTGTTTTCCAAGTAAAAATTATCAAGAGGATTTCTCCATTTCCATTCCTTTATAGATGACCAACATAACCAAGTTTATCATCAGACTGAACCAACGCCTGATTCTTACTAACCAGATTTTTAAAACTATTTGTATAATGACGTTACAGTATTATTTTTTCTGCAGGTGAAGAATTGCTGATTTTACGACTTGATGATTCTATACATACAAAGATACTTGTTAAACTAAGGCTAAACAAAACGAAAAGGATGGAGCATTTGGTATGCTAAGGAAGAAAAGATGGGAAAAAAATCCCTGGTTCTGTTAAGTATTTTTCCAATTAATTTAGAACTGAAGTCTGCTCATCTAAAATGCTTAGATAAAAGAAACTGTTTACAGTTATGTTGCACGAAAACCATTATTTTTTAACTGATGTAACACCTACCTCTTCTAGTGTTAATAGGTCCACCTCGCATAGCCAGAACTAACTTCAGAGTGCAGCCTTCTGAAATGCTGGAAATAACAATAAATATGTTTTTGTAGCATTCTCTATTGCTTATGTTACCAATATCCAGAAACATTCATTGCAATTTTATTCTATACTTACTTATAATCATTCAAACAATAGTCATCCTTCAGCTCCATGTTATTCCAAATTAAGTGCTGCTGAGAGACAGGAATACCTAAACAAACAAACAAAACCACAAACAAACAAAAAAAGAGTATTAAAATTGGAGCTTGGTGGGAGGGCTTTTGGGGAGTTTTGCTTTTTGAAGAATGTGGGGATAACAGAGAAGCAAGAAAGAGGATCTCAAAGGAAAGAAGAAAGGAAGCAGGACAAGGACAGGTACTTGAGCAGCCTTCAGTCATGATATCCAACCTCCCAAATAATTATAAAGAACAAAGTTAAGGTTTTCAGCAGGCTTGTGCTCACACATTGAGTTCAATCTTTTGGCTCAACAAGGGGTCTGTAGAACTACTCAACTGCTTCAGGCTTATTGAATACTTGCTCTTTTCCAGTCATCAGACGAGGGAAATTTTTTGCTGTTGTATGTACCTCAAAGCTTTATGACTATTGACAGAAGAACCAGGATAAAACTTCTAACTAGAGAACTGCTGAATAATTTAATCATAGACCAATATTCTGTATTACTCACAGTGAAGACAAGGTTGCATTAAGGTAACTGGTGGCAGCTCTTATTACAGTGGTGACAACTGTATATGTGTTTTACCACTGCTTGGTTTGGAAACTTAAAGTTCACACGTACAATATAGTAACATTGTAGTACAAAGTTTGACAAACTGCTAACACTTATTAAAACAAAAATACACAACAAAATAAGTGTGTAACACTTACTAAAAACGCATATTCTTCACAATGACTAACTTTGCTTCTTTTTGCCTGCATAGTCAACTCATTTAGATACAGACGTAACACACATCAAAGATAATAAACACAAGCTGCTATGACCTGAGGTCTTCACACATTTTCACTAGAAAGCTGCCACTTTACAAATTTTAGACACAGTACAAATAAGGACAGTTAAGAAAGGATAAGACATCTTGGATCACAAAAAAAAAAAAAAAATAAGGCTAGTAGGAAGATGAACAGCTGTCTTTTTTTACCTTTGAAAAAAAAAATCTTCCCTTCAGCATTCAAAAGAAGTACAGCTGTTCAATTTGTCTAGTGAAATCCAGGTAAGATCTCACTGTGCACTCCTGGCAAACTGTAATTAAAATGAAAATCTACAGAGACCAAAGATACTTTTTTCAAAAAGGTCTAACCCCTACTCCTCAGACCAAGAAGCAAAATCTACAAATACATTTTCCAAAACATTACATTAATCTTATCTTATACTTTTATTCATTGCATGCTCAGATGCTTAAAATGAGATGCAAGTAGCAATGCTACACAGTAAGACTTCCCAAAATATATCTAGAGAGAGGGGAACACAAAGATCCGTGTCTTCCAGAGGGGTCCCAAAAACAGCTTAGCTTCCCAAGGCTTGCAAGAGTGCTTAGCAAGCTGTGGCAAAAGGTCAGTTCAGTAGCCCCTTCCTAGCTGGGGGAAGGGCACAAAGTGACCAACATCCAACACCAGCAAGAAAGAAAAGGGGACCAGATTCTAGTGAAAGTCCAAGTAGATTCAACAGGCGAGTAGGAGACATGCTAATTGCATATCCCATGCAGAAGAAGGAGTGCACTTTGGAGGAGCTGTCATTGTTATTTAAGTTTTGGAGAAGATTACAATTCCCTCACCACAGCTCACATCTAGGTCTCTTTTATGAATGACCAACACAACTTCACTTCACTTGGACAGCATTTAACATGAGTCTTGCATTTTCTGAAGTCCACAAGACATTTATGAGGGGAATATGTTCATAGGGTAGGCTAACAATAATTGCTATTACACTGCCAGCTATTTAGTAACTAGCTACTGGTTATATTTCAGGTCTGCACAGTAAGCAAAAAAAGAACAAGCTGGCCGCAGCCAGTGAGTCCACAGTGAAGTTCTTTTCTGTGTTGTTTTACAGTCTTCTGATTACAAACGGTCATTACCATCTGCATTTGTTATGGTTTCAGCAGCCTCCAAGGAGCAACCTCCAATTAGTTTGATAAACTCAGAGAGTATTTGTTAAAAAGGCTGGCTTGCAACTGGCAATACTGCAGTGAAACATGTTTTTGTTCAGTTAACAATGACAATGTATTTTTGATGAAATGAACAGATAAAAAGACTACATTCTGCTGTAATGGGAAACCGACAAGTCTTCATTACTCATTCTCTTTTATGCTGCTTTCTAAGAATTCTGTATTTATACATGGAGGAAATGGTATGTGCTTTATATGTTCAGGTGTAGGAAAATATGCATCAGCTGTCCCTTTTCTGAATTATAGTAAGGCTTTCTTGAAGAGACATTTGCACACGAGATCAGCATGTAAAACTGGCAACAATAACGAGAACTGCAAGATACCCATTCACTATCCCCTCTCCCTAAGCAGTATGTGACTGAATCACTGGCCTGCTCTAAATCAGTACCGAGGGGAAAATAGGGCAATAAGCTAAATTTCAATGCTGAAATGGAAGTGCTGGCCAGGTGATGCTAGAGCAGGACAGAAGAGTCTGCAGACTGCCTGTTGAAATGGCTATGGATGCGCTGACAATCTGACCTACTGAAATGGGAGAAGGAGAGGAGAGAAGTAGGTACTCTATCCTGTCTCTGAATCAGCATTATCAGATACACCCTTAAGCTTCACTCCTTTACTCTTCTTTCTGGCATGCTGAGTAGGCTCACCAGAGAAACTGACATGGTCAAGTCTGACCCAGAAAAACTCTCTTGTAGATTTCAGAACAAACTCTATTTTATGTTGTGGGTAGAAGGTTACCACATTTAAAAGCACCACAAACAGTGTGCTTATCTTTCATTCAATTCTGAATTTGCTAGAGTTTCTTAAACATTTACTTTTTGTTACTGCTTACAGAGAGGCTGGGCTGACAGCCTTATTTCTCCCCAAAAAATAGCTACACAAGGGAAGAGGTGCAAAGGTTCACAACAGCACAACCATTTTCACAACTGTCAAACCCCCCAGCCTTCAATTTCACGATAGTAAGCTACATTAGTGTAAATGGTGGTCAGTACTGACCTACTCTTTGCCCTAGGGACTGACAAAGAGGAGACTCCAACAGCGAGTCACCAGTAGCAATACAGGCTCACAAAACTTCGTGACAAAGGTGACCTTACTAACACCTTCCAGATGCTGCTCTAACCACCTGATCTGGGCACAGGCTTGCATTTGTAGAAATGTTTTCCCAGCTCAGAGAAAACATAAGCTTAAAAAAAGCTTCATGAACTTCTAGTCTCTATCAGCACAGTAAACGGGCAAATGACAAAGCAAACAGTAGACGCAGTAGACAGAAGAAAAACAAGATTGTTTCTGTTAAAAACTCTTCACACTTGTGCAATCCACTTACTCCAGTCCTGACAGAAGCATAGCTATTTTCTCAAATGCAAGTAGTAATAAATATCATTATGACATCCTCTGAATTCACAAAATATTGAAAGAAATAAAACATCCAGAAGAAGTTTGCTTTATATTCATCCAGTTCTTTTCACTTAAGGTGAAGCTGCTGTACATAGGCAGCAAAATAATAACAGCAAAGAGACCAAAGAAAAATAACAACTCTCATGATGAATTGAGAGTACACACACGTACAACAACAAAATTATTGTTGCATCTGTCATTCCCTGCTGAACACTAGCATTCCAAATTAAGATGTACTCTGAAAGCTAGTTCTGTTTTTCCCCCTTTACAATAATACAAGAACAAGAGAACATCTAAATTTTCATCTAAAAAGGTAGATGTTTCCACACACAGAAATCATAAAATTCAGTTGTAAGCCGTCGTTGAACAAACCATGACTGAGTTTTTTATTAATTGTAAGCTAGCTACACTAATGTAGGCTTTAACACTCCACACTGTACAATGCAAATTAATTCTGACAAGTTAATAATACTAATAATAATAATACCATCAAATCCCAAACCCTACCTCCTCCCTCGAGACTTGATCCTATCTTACTGAACAAACATGTTTACAGGTATTATCTATGGTTCTTTAACAGATGAAAGAATTAACCACTGCAAGGAATACACTATCTGAATGTTCCTTCTATAAAATTCAATATAATAGTTGGCGTTTCTGAATGAAGAATACTAAACTTCATCCAGGCCAGCAGCTACAAAGACTTGTACAATGGAGGGAGCAAGAACAGGTCTCCCCAGTTAAAAAAAAAAAAAAAAAAAAAAAAAGTTCTTTTCTCTTTCAAAGAAATCCTGCTATTCTTAAATACCATTCATGTGTTGAAGCTCAGTCTTTCATGCCACCTTGAAACTCAGGTACCATCCTATCCATGCCCATCAACACATGCTAGCAACACTATACTTTGTTGCTGGCTGTGTGCATTCTAGCTTTTACTTCATCAGCAGAGACAAAGGGAGCTATTTCATCTCCAGTGTACCATTTTAAAAGGCTCATTTAGTGAATCTGACACTAGGAGCGACTTACCGTAGGCGGCTCCAAAGTCAAGGTAAATTTTTGGATACCAAGTGCTTACTTCACATGGTAGATACTGGAGGACAAATGCCTGGATCTGATCCAAACACACATCAGATCTGCTTTAAATTCAATTTACAAGCAGACTTGCACTGGAATTTCAGATGCATTAGAACAAATTCATAAATTTTTACCCATACTCTTTACTGAGTAAAACCAACTGGAAACAGTTGGAGATCTGAAGCTCTTTCTTAGTAAGGTACCACTTTCTACTACAGCCGTCTAAACAAACCTTTTCCATATCAGATCATTAAACAGGCACCAAGAATGACAAACAGTATCAGAAATATACAAAATTCCTAACATGCCATCCATATTATCCTTTTTTATTACAGTGAAGTCTACATCTACTGATATTCCAGTTGTTGACAAAGATCAGTTCATTTTGATTTAGGTTTATTATTAGCCTCTTACAATCAGAGGCATTGGTGACATTTGAACAAATTTGTTAACTTCTGATACAAGTCTAGATTTTGTTCTTAGAGATCTCAGGTCTCAGATAATTTCCCCAAAACTTGCCTTTTGGTATGCTTATATACCATCATCCTCAACACCCAAATGAGTCCATGGGGACAACACGCATGAGGGACCCTATATAGTCTCCAAATATTTATTCATCTTCAGCCAGAAGTGCAGCTTAAATGAGAAGGGTCCACACACTACGAAATTTGACACAATACAATAATAAACAGGGAAAAACAGCAACAGCAATAGATGTAAGCTTTCTGCTTCCCATGCTAAATTGCAACAGCAAAATTACTCTATGACTTTTACTCCACCTGGGGGATTCAGTGCTCGAACTTGTGCACTATAAATAGGAACTTTGTCACTGAAAAGTTGTTAATTATTTTTTACACGCAATAGCAACCCCAAACACAACATAAAATTAATTTGCCATTGTGTATCTGTCCCCTTCACACACAGATGATCAACTTGTTTTCACTCTGCCTCCCATAAATCATATTAATCTGGACATCACAGATATTGTAACTCTGTTCCAGAGTATCAAGGTATTTCAACTGACTTCTAACAATTCAGTGATAAGTAGCACTGAACCCTTATCTTCCATGTTTTAAGGAAATTTGCTTATTAATAATTACGTCTATGCAGCAGGCACCTAAGCCATTAATTACCTTATCATCCTATGAACTACAACATGTGAACAAAATTCTGAACAAGCAATATTATAACTTCATTATTGAGCTGTTCTTCTAATACGAAATTACGACACTTTTGTAAGCTAGGTACACCCAGCCTACATAATAACCTGTAGGTAAAATTCAATATGTCTGTTCGCAATCTCCTGTTTTGGACTCCAAGAAACTAAAATTCCCCTTCCTCACATCTCCCACTGGTCTCTTCATTCATCCTTTAAAGCTCACTGCCTTTACCTATACCATCCAGATAGCATGCCTTCTTCTGTACTCTCTTGCCTATGCTCCCTTTTAATTCACTCTTAATTAGTATTCTATCACATATCTGTTTGCATCTCTCCTATGCCTATATTCAGTCATGGAGAAGAAAAACCCTTTCCTTTTCTTGTTTCACCTTGAGCCTCCAGAAGTATGTCAACATATTCTCTGACTTGTGATTAACTAGGACCCTGTCCACAGCAAACAAAAGTACATCCACAGAGCTACACTAATATAAATGCTAGTTATCTACATGGTGGAGCTTCTACTATGTGACCTTAGTAGCAAAAAGTCACCCCTATGATTGCAATGCTTCTGTGTTTTAAGACTTGTGGCAGCTACTTTTTTTCCATCCATTAGCACAGATTTCTGTAAGAGTAGGAGAGTACCTTAGATTGAAGTCTAAAGCATGATATTACATCTCCCAGATGGTGGGTTCCACACAGACAGAAGCATGAAAAATGTGTACAGGTATACTGGGGAAAGAGAGGATCCCTTTTCTTAAAATTATCAACTCTGGTACTCTCATGTTGTGCAGCTACATAGTTCCTTAACTCCTCCAAAGTGAGGAAGAGAATGCAATACTTCAAAGTAGCTAAAGTATGTATACACAGGTATTTCAAATCACATTCTTTCATTCTGATTCACTTCCATCACAGAGGAAAAGGAGTGAAAGAGGACCAACCTACATCTTTTCTCCTTGCATCAGCATCAGGACTGGCCTCATAACTTAAAGCAGGTTTTCACTTCGCAGGATGTGCCAAGTTCATCACTTTAAGAGAAAGCATAGCTTGGACAGACTTCTACCAGCAAGAGATCACTCACCTAACAAAATTCAAATCAGTAACTTCAAGCTGCCTTTGGGATTTGCCAGCACTGCAGTTGCTCATGTGACTGCAGTATCACAAATAAACCATAAATTGACTAAACTCAGAAGCAACAACCATAGCCCCTAGTTAAAAGTATGCTCAGAACATTGCAAGCCAGACATATGGGAAGGCTCAAGTTTATAACCTTGCTAGTTAACAAACAACTTATGTCAGAGAATCTTTTCAACACCAAAAATATTATATCCCATATTATATCAAAACAACTCATGATTTACCATAACACTTTTTAAGATTTATCTCAATAACAACACACAAAACAAAACAAGAAAAGAAGAGCAAAAATACCAATTCCAGTAAAGCCTAAGCCATGAACTGATAGGAAAATGAAGGGCCAGAAAAACAACTCAATTCCAATTAAACCTAAGCCATAAACTGAGCACCTAGTTTATATACATACTACTGAACAAGTTATTTAAGTGATCTGGTTTGATTTTAGCAGTTACAGTTTGTAAAACAAGACCTCCTCTAAAGTGATAAAGTTTATACCAAAATAAGAGAGAGTAGTACCTTCGAGTCTTTGAACTTTAGCTTTCACAGAAATAACTGTTTCAAAGGCAGAAACTCGCAGTTCAAAGCATGTTCCTGTCAGCGTTTCAATGAAGAGCTCCATAGTTTCATAAAAAGGAAGCTTGTAGTGCAATGGTCCCATATTATCTTCATTGAAAAAAGGAGGTTCTTTCTTGCTGGCCATTACAAAGGATTTACAACTTCCTTGTAAGAAGACCTGTCAGGAAACTACATTTCACTTCCAGCTAAGTCAGCTGTAAGGACAGGTGTGGTGCATTGCTGTTCATGTTTGAGATTTTTCACCTATAAAGCAAACAAGTATAGTTCTAACAACATTTGAACATAGCTGTTAAAGAGTTTCAATTTATTCTTGATGAACAATAAAATAGCTATTAAGAAGCAG